GCAGCACACAATGTCTTATGCGCGTCGAGGTAGGTCATTCTGGGCGGTTTCCACGTCGCGGGTCAGTCGAGACGGTGCTGACCATGATGGACGACAGGACCCCGAGATTCACAAGGCAACGGGGGAGAGCGAGCCCGTGGCTGTCATGGCCAAGCTGCGCGAGATGAAGAACAACTTCAAGTGAGTGGGCTCGGTAGGTTTCGCTTGGCCCGACTCGCGCGGCGCAGCTGACGAGCGGCACAGGGAACCAGCATCGAAGATTTGAATGGCAGGTGATGGGGGTTGGCTGTACAGAGCACTGAAGTCACAGCGAAGCAAGCAAGCAAGGAAGCAAGCAAGCAAGCAAGCAAGCAAGCAAGCAAGCAAGCAAGCAAGCAAGCAAGCAAGCAAGCAAGCAAGCAAGCAAGCAAGCAAGCAAGCAAGCAAACGAAGCGGCGAGGGGAGCAGCATACGTAGTTGCACATGGACGAGAATGACGATTGTCTCGCCATGACCAGGAGAGGACGGCCAGATGCCGCCGAACCATGTCGAATCCGTGATGCAACCCAGACACTCTGGACGGTGTAGAATGTTCCCCCAGACACCTGCCACTCGGCCATGAGGACCGAGTAGACAAAAAGGCGCCCACGGACCGCGCGCCGCGTACGACCCGCGGCGGTTATTCCATATTGCTTCATTGTCCACACTTGCTCGCTCTAGATGATGGAGGCGGCAAGCTCTAGCATTAATTGTAGAAGCGTAGTCTCGTCTTGTCATCTGGAAAGCGCCGCTCATGATTGGAGTCGCCTGTCGCAGGACACCAGCCTGTGGACGACACCAGCCTGTGGACGACACCAGCCAGGCGGGCCCGACTTGGAGCAGACGACGGATATGCAAAAGGCGTCTGCGTGTTCCACTGACGATGGATGCCTCGTTGAAGAGGGCGGCAGAAGGTCCAGATCTCGAGGGGCGTTTTTCCAGATGATGTTGAGGTTGATGATGGCGAAGGAACAAGTCTTGGGAAGACCCATCAACAGCAAATTTCTACCTGAGCCGGTCCGTGTCAACCAAGTACTGCAACTGTGCACTCACACGGCATCGGCCCCTCCCATCAACGCGTCAGAGCTCCTCCGCTCCCCATCCCCACGCTACGTGATCCCAGCATCCATCTACTAGCTGCATCCTCCCCGCGACACGACCAGCGCCAGAGATATCTCTACTGCCGCAGCCTGTGACAGGATGATGAGACCTTTGCACACTAATGCCGAATGAATTCTAGGGAGAGAATTCACGTAACCTCCCGTATCTTAAGTTGCAACAATGAAGGCGCCTCCGTACTTCGACTCTGTTCCCTCTATCAAATTTACAAGAAGGTCCCTAGTGTCCCAGGCCCAATGCAACCCTCTGAGTACGATCTATCACCACGTTTTTGTGC